GGGGGGGAGAGTTTCTGCGTATAGCAAACGCACACACGCACTTACGGGCTGCCCCAAAAGCTCGTTCCTGGCGTGTCGCGTCATATCAGTGCACTGCATGACTGTGTGTGTGGGCGGGCAGGTTGGCTGGCGATTTCTATCTGTCCCTCTGACTGACGTGTCCACTGTTTTCTACCTCCTTGCCCTCTCTCTCTCTCTGTGTGTGTGTGTGTGTGTGTATGTGCGTGTCGAGTGAGTCAGGTGAGTGCCTCAAAAAGTGGCGGGCACGGCAGTGGGTCAGTCAGGCAGGAGGGCGACAGTCAGTAATGATAACGGTCAAGACGCGAGAGCGACGAATTAGCTGGGAACGATGTGTCCCTTTCCTGCCTGCCTGCCTGCCTACATTGATCAACCTTTCTTATACCTAACGCTGCCTGCTACTTATGCATAGATAGAGACAGACATATACTCAATTACTGCCTGCCTGCCTGCCTGCGGTCGGTCAGCACGCTTACCTCACGAGGGGAGGGACAGAGCGTCCTAAGCCTGCTCGCTCTGTACTGCGCCGCCTCTGTCTGTCTTTTGTGATGGTTTGTCCCCTACGTATGACTGACTACACATCCATCCATCCATCCCTCCGTCCGTCGATCGTCTTGCATCGCATCGCCATGCTCATCCATCCCTTGATTGTGGCCTCGCATCCCCACCTGACGAGGAGGGTGGCTGACATGACAATACCCATTCTCGGGACAGACTGCCGGATTGATGGACTGGCTGCTGCGTGGCGTTACGTGAAGACCTGACTGTCTTGTCTGTCTGTGAGTCGGGGCGATGAGATGAAGTGCGATGAAGTGAGAGAAGCTGGCTGCTGTTGTATGTATCTATCTACCCGGGCGGGCAACGGGTGGGTAACAGGTGGGTGGGCGGGCTGGTGTGCTGTGCTGTGCCGTGCCTGGCTGACCTGACTTGAGACACACTGGTGGTGGACAGATAGATAGAAGACGTATCCCTGACTGTACAGAGACCGGCCGCATTTCCACCTGCTACAGGCGGGCTTGCTGACCGACCCAAGTACACACGCGATGCGATAGATGGGGTGGCGGGGGTGTGATGGGCCAGGCCACTGGCTGGGCTGGCTGATCCAGAGAGGCTGCATTTTCCCTCCTGTGAGCCGCCTTGCGTGCTGTCGGCTCTCCGGCGCGCGGGCGGGAAGAGGGGACGACGGGCGGGATGCCTGTCTGTCTGTCTCCTCTTAAGTCTGGGGGGCAATGGAATGATGATTCCCACGTCTGTCGGTCGGTTGCTTTGTCCGATCTGGGAAACGACACGCGCCTCGCCTGGCCTGGATCGGACCAATGAATGAGTGTATCAGTCAGTCAGTCAGGTCAGTCAGTTACCTGCATAGCTCTTGCCTCGCCTTTTGCTAGCCTAGCTTGGCTGCCGTGCCCCTCCGTCTCTCTCACTCATTCACTCATACACATAGATCAAATTGGCCCGTCGCGCCCTTCTGAGGCGCCCCGTACTGCTGGCTGATGTGTGTGAGAGGCTTGAACGGACACGCGCTCATAGACTGACTGGGCTGCGTGTGATGTGAGAGTGAGAGAGTGAGCAACGAACGGGACAGATAGATGTGTCGCGTGTGTACTGTACAGCGGTCAGACAGGACAGACAACACAAACAGACAGGGGCGCTTTCCGGCGCTCCTCGTGCCGGTCTCTATCTGTGTATGAGTGTGAGTGTGAGTGTGTGTCCACCACCCAGCCATTGATTGATTGCATGATATGCGTCTGTGGGCTCGCTCCCCCTTTTCCGCCCGCCCACCTTGTGCTGTGCATGACCAGGGACTGCAACAAACGCGACGGATGCCACGGACGGTTGCCTGCCCGCCCGCCTGATTGTGTGCGTGCAAGCCGTGCTGACTGATGCTTCATATCTGAAGTGGAGCTATTTGTACTCGCTGCCGTGCCGTGCAGGTGCATGTGTGTGTGTGGACTCATTCATGGCCCCCCATCTTTGCCTGCCTGCCTGCCTGCCTGTGACCGATTGTACCAAGTTGTTCATGCTGTCAGTGTTGAATGAAACCAAACCCTTCTTCCGCAGTGATCCATACACACATTCAGGAGTGCGTACGCATTTGGGAAATTCTCTCTGTGCAGCCTCCCTGTGTATCTTTCGGCCGTTTCTGTAGAGGTAATCCGATGCTGCGGTGTTGTGACAGCACTAGATGACCTCTACAACATCGAGACACAGAAGGAGACGCAGAGCAAACAGCCCATCACAAGCCCAACAAGCTCCATTCAGTCTGTCTGTCACTATTGAGCATTACTCGTCCGTCGCTCAGGCGGAGAGGTAAGTCAGTCAGTCAGAAGACACTCGAAAAAGCCCATGCGCTCGCACGGGTTGACCCACTTAACCATCCCACCCATCCCACCCACCGCATATATACATGAGTCAGTCAGTGAGCCACTCCCTCCCCCATCGCAACCAACGCAGCAGCCGTCCCGTCTGTCACAGCTTGTTGTAGTTCAAGAGTATGGGGTAGAGGTGTCGGAAGGCCATGTGCAGCTCCTCCTCAGACCTCGCGCCGCTCAGCGACACCTTCCCCGACACAAACACCAGCGCCGTGCAGCTGCACGCCTTCTCCCCCCCCTCAACCCTCTCGTCCTTGACCTTGAGCACATCCCTGAACCGGAACACGCAGCCCGAGAAGAGCTCCGGCTCGTAGCTGCACCGCTCCCGGTGGTCGAAGGCCAGGCCCTCCAGCCGGACGGGGAAGCCGACGTCTGCCGATGCGATGACGTTCTCGACCTTGAAGTTGGCGAAGACCACGTCGGGGAAGCCCACCTTCTGGATGATGCGGGCCATCCTCTTGCCGCCCAGCTTGGCGTCCTTCTCCGTCTTGCTGCCCGATATCATCATGCGGCCCGTCCGGAACACCAATGCCGTGCACCGCGGCTCCCGTATCCGCATGACCACTGCGTTGATCTTCTTGGGGTTGAACTCAGAGTTGCGCGTGGACAGTGCGATGGACTTGAGGTCCAGCTCCCTCCCCAGCTGCACAGACGCTATCAGGTTCTGTACCCTGGGCTTCATCTCAGGCGGCGGCTCGGCGGAGGGGACCAGGGCGCTCTCTGAGGAATCAATGGCGTCAGCTGCGGCTGCCGAGGCGCCGGATGGGACTGCGAGGGCGAGGGAGCTCTCCGGTGAGGGCTCCTTCTTGGGAGGGATGGGGAGAGGGATGGGAACGGCAGGAGGCCCATCAGGATCCAGCAGGATGCTCATGACGTCAAATCAGAATCCGCGGTGTGCTAGTCGCCTTTGTTTTAGTGTTTCGAGGCTGTTTCGTCGCCTCATCTGAAGCATTTCACGGAAGAAGAACCATTTCACGCAATGTCCTAGGCCCTCGACCGGAAGCGAGGGCAGGGCTGTCTATTCTCTCCCCGTTAGCTTTATCGTAGTGCTGAAACGCAGCAGCAGCTCGACGGAGATACGCAGATCTAAGCGCTGCTGAGGATATCGCTTCACACAGCGTCGACATAGCAGCATGGTACGCAACACATCACAGGTGCATTCGGTGGGTCAGGGAGGTTGTAGTTGAGACACGGGCAAGGACGGGGACGGTGGCGGCATCACCCTTGCTAGTCAGGCAGTGTCGGGTGCATTCGTTGGCTGGCCTCTGTTCGGAGAGGCTCCCCTGTCGTTGAGCCCATCCGAACAGATCTGAATATGGCCGTTGATGTCTTCCTTCTGCTGCATGTGTGTGTGTGCGTGTGTGTGCAGGCACAGCCTCAGCAGGCTCAGCAGCCGCAGCCGCAGCCGCAGCAGCAGCAGGCGATGCCTGAGTTCAAGCTAGTGCTGGTGGGTGACGGCGGTGTCGGCAAGACCACCCTCGTCAAACGGCACCTCACCGGCGAATTCGAGAAGAAATACATCGGTCAGTCAGCAGACAGAGCAGACAGCCTAGAAGCACTTGACTTTGTCGCGTTTCGTTTGTGTGTCGATTGTGTGTTGTGTTGTGTGTGGATATGATTCAGCTACGTTGGGTGTGGAGGTTCATCCGCTGGTCTTCAGCACCAACTTCGGCCCCATCAAGTTCAACGTGTGGGACACGGCCGGACAGGAGAAGTTCGGAGGGCTCAGGGACGGATACTAGTAAGGAAGGCACACACACACACACGCACACACACACACACAGACGGCAATCGATGAGGACCTGCCGCATGGAGCCCTACGCTGTGTGTGCCTCTCCTCTGTCTGTTTTCAGCATTCAGGGTCAGTGTGCGATCATCATGTTTGACGTGACGAGTCGCATCACCTACAAGAACGTCCCCAACTGGCACCGCGACCTCGTGCGGGTCTGCGAGAACATCCCCATCGTACTCGTCGGCAACAAGGTAAGCAAGATGCAACCAACGGAATGAACGAACGACACACGAGCCAGACGGGCGCACTGCCGCAATGTGCCTGTCTGTGTGTCCAGGTTGACGTGAAGGATCGTCAGGTCAAGGCTCGTAACATCATGTTTCATCGCAAGCGCAATCTGCAGTACTACGACATCTCGGCCAGGTCCAACTACAACTTTGAGAAACCTTTCCTCTGGCTCGCCAGAAGGCTCACCAAGTAAGAACAAGGCCGAGGCCGCACTACGACCGACAGCCATCCATCCATCCATCGTGTGTGCTGCATTGTGTTGATTGTATTGCAGCCAGCCCGAGTTGAAGTTTGTGGGTCAGTTTGCCAAGGCGCCCGAGATCCAGATCGACCCCGAGCTGGTCAAGCAGCACGAACAGGAGCTGCAGCAGGCCGCCACCGCACCCATCGAGGTATGGATGTATGTACGGCGGATAAAAAACACTCTCACACCAATGAATAGAGAGAGGGATGCGTGGGCAGAACTGCATGGGTCTGTGTGTCGTGTGCTGTGTTGTGTTGTGTTGTGTTGTGTTGTGTTGGTCTTGCAGGACGATGATGAGGACCTGTAGATGCTGACGGTGGATGGATGGCCATGCATCGTCATCGCTTCCCTAGTCACTGCCTGACTGACCGGCTTTCGCCTGCCCCCCCTCTCTACTCACATAACCTACCTACCTACTTACCTACACGTGTGTGTCTGTCTGTGTGCCGTCCCACCACCCACCCCCTCCCCCAGCACCCACCGACCAACTGCCCATCCATCCATCCATCCATCCGCTTACATGCCCACACCATCCGGCCGCCCGTCCCTATTCTACGTGTATGCATTCCGTGGGTGGTGATCGATCACGAGATGGTGGGCCACTGTGCAGTGTGTGACGTTTTAAGCTGTGGGTGGAGTGGAAAAGTGGAGTGGACTGACCGGCCGACGGACCTACCTGCCTACGGGGTGGGGGATGCGATGCGATGCACAGGCGGACACACGTCTGGCTGTCTGTCTGTCTGTCTGGCTGTCTTGATTTCTGCCTGCCGTTCTTTTTGGCCTGCCTGGCCTGCACGTCTGTGTTTTTGCACCCATACCCATCCACGGGCCGGGCCGCCTGGGCCGGGCGTGTGTGCGTGTACGGTGGGTGTGGTATGCATACAGCGTGTTTCACCATAGATTGCAATGACTGACAGTGCAGTGGCAGTATGATGATTGACGGATGGCTGGCCGGAACAGACACACAGGATGGAGGGATGGGAGGGATGGGACTGCTAGCTAGGGGTGGGGGCGAGTGTGTGAGCAGACTGTCTGTGTATGCCTTTGTACCTGCCTGCCTGCATGGATGCGTGGATGCCATGACTATCTTGGTTCGTGTAAAGCTCTATCTTTACTCACGCATCGCGTGCTCTCTTCCATTGACTGCATCAACCAACGTGACGACACGTCAAAAAGACCAACCAGACCAGCCCCCACTCCCACACCCCTCCCCAAAGGCACACACGCACGCAAAGCCCACTCACTGAACACAGGCAGACACCCGCACCGCATCCCCCTTTCTGCTTGCACTGCACAGTGTCTTCATTCAGGAAGTGTATGCTGCACGAATGTCTCTGCCCCGGCCCCTCCCGCATGTCCCTCCCTCCCTCCCCGTTGCTGGAAGCATTTATTGTCTGCCTTTGTCCAGCATTTCTTCCTTGAGTTTTCGTGTGAGTTCTTGTCGTCTAAGCATCTCTTCGAAGCCCAGCAGCTCCTCGTCCTTCTCATCCTTCTTGTCGCTGTCTGCCGCCATCTTGAGCAAACTCTCCTGCACCGACTGCAGCTTGGCATCCACGCTCTTGTCTCCCGACTCAGGGCGCTGTGGGGTCTTGCGCTGCTGGTACAGCACCAGCTGCTTCTCGCGCTCCTCCTTCTTCTTCGCCAGCAACACATCACGTTGTCTACAAAAAACAGCGCAGAGGTAATAAGTACTGGGTGTCTGTCTCCTTTTCTTGTGGCTTCTCCCGCTCTCAACACCCACTTACCTTCTGAGGTGCTCCATCCTCTGTGCGAGTTCCTCAGCTGTCGGCTCCTTCCTGTCGCCCGCGTCACGTCTCGCGTTGAGCCCCAGGGAGGCGAACAGGTCCTTCGGCGCACCCGACGGCTCGCTGCGGTCTACCCCCAAATGCCCGTCGATGTGACTGCAGTGCAGAAAGAGAAAACCTGTGCACAGAAAAAAGGACTCAGCTCGTCCACGTACCTCTGCATAGCCTCATGAGCTCGCTGACGTCGCTGGTAAGCCTCTTTAGAACAAAGGATAAGGAGAGGAGAGAGAGACACGGAAAATGATAGACATTGGTCGGTCGATCGATGCCTCTTTCCTTACCTCCTTGCAACATGGCGATTTCATGTGGCGTCAGCTTCGGCAACACAATCCCCTCCATCCCATGACCCCCAGCCCCCTTCAAAGGCGGCAGCGACGGCTCAGCAGCGCTCGACGACAACGGCTCATCGGGCGCAGATGAGGGCGTCAGCGGACGGGGGCTCTTCTTGCGCTTTTCTTTCTGCAATCAACCAGAATCATAAATATATAACGATGTCGACAGACACGCAGGAGCCCAACCCACCCACTTTTGTCTTTGGTGGCTTGAGCTCATTGTCCTCTCCCAGAGGCACGGGAGGGAAGGAGGCGTCGACAAATGTGTCGGGCACCGCGGCTCGTGCAGAGACAGCAGCAGCAGCGGCAGCGGCAGCGGCAGCAGGAGGAGGAGAGGCAGGTGCATCGCCGGCCTCCTCCTGCTGCTGTTGCTGTGCCGCTTTGCGCTCCTCTCTCAGTATTCTCTCCTCCTGACAGACAAGAGAAAGTTGTATGTTCGTTCCGCTATGTATCTTCATGTCTCGCTATGTGTGACCTCGTCTCTGATGGATTCCTCCAGTGCCCGCTGCAATTCGTCATCCTCATCGTCGTCATCATCGTACTCACCAGAGTCGTCGTCTGGAATAGCCAGCAAACACAGGCGGAAGAGAGGGAGGGTGGAGATGGAGGAGCTCCCTTGTGTGTGTTGGTCAGCTTCTCACGGTGGTCCTTCTCGTACAGCTCGCGCGAAAGCCTCAGTGCCTCCTGCAGTTCTCTCTCCTCGTCCTCCTACACAACATGGGTACGTACGTATGTGTGTATGTGTGTCTGGATATGTCCTCAACTAGCTGGCTTACATAGTAGTGCCATTCGTCCTCGACGGCCTCGCCCTTGACATCCTCTCCTTTCCCCTTCCCAGGCTTCTCAGGGGCATCGGAGGGCCCCGGAGTATCGTAGCCCTCACCCAACGCATACTCACGGCGCAACATGCTACACGCAAGTCAGCAGCGAGAACGTGATGCATGTTCAGTGGATGCGGGCTGTGTGTCTCCCTCACTCGAGTGCCTGGCACTCCAGCTCCATGTTACGGCGAACCATCATGGCCTTGAAACCTGAATGAGCCCAGACCAGACAACACGAGGCCCCGGCTCCTGTCTGTGTCTCATCGCCTGTTGGCCGGCTTACACAGGAAGTCATCAATGGACAGCAGCTGCTCGACCAGCAGCTGATGCAGCCTGTAGTGGCGATAGTTGCGAATCAGCTCGGGATTGTCATCGGGCGACGGAGGGGCCAGCGGTGCGGACCTCCGCTGTGTGAACTCGGCGTGGGCGGCCATCATCTTGGCGCACACCTTCTCAAACTGCTCGGCTGTGATGCCAACCTCGCCTGCAAGAGACACACCCACACGTGGGGCTCACACACGCATGTGTGTATGCAGGCCACAAGAAGAGATGACAGACAGTACCCATGAGATGGTTGGTCAGCAGCGTGTCCACCAGGTTCTGAAAGTCCTGTAGCAAGAAAAACGCAATGACGTTCATACAGCGTCCTTCCCCTGCTGTTTCCCTCTGACGCACCTGGTGGCACTGCGTGTAAGTGAATTTGTTCTCCTCCTCATTGTCAAAAATGATGCATTGCTGAACACACGCAACATCAGTCCAGCCATCGACTGCATACAGGCCCCAAGTGACCCTCCTGACCTCATCGATGAAGTTCTGCAGCGGGATGATCCACTCGGGGGACTTCAAAAACTCGACGATGTAATCAGCGACCCAGTCCAGCTCCTCCGCCTCTCCACCCTTCTCCTGGCCTCGTCTTGGATGCCGGGGAGGCGCCGCGGATGCCGGCACGAGGTGTCCGGGAGCAGGGTGTCTTGGACCGGTGCTCTGGGGTGGAGGAGGTGCTGACGGTGCATTGTCTGAAGTTGGAGTGGCGGCACGGTTGCCGCCACGGCCTCGGAAGAAGTTGAATCGCATCTTCGCATGCGAGACTGGCCTTCCCCCACTTGCCCCACGCCACAGCTCGCGAGACTCGAGCTCTTCGAATGGAAGGCGCTTATCCCCTGACCCGCAACATGGGTCGTCCTCACCAGAAGCAGAAACAAACCATGTGGCACGTAAGATGCCGCTCTCAGAAAGCCCCTTTTCATGAAACGACGGTTCATGTCATGGGTTCTTCCCGGATGTGTGTGCTCAGCTGTATCCGCCGAATCGCCTGTGTTACGAGTATCACGAGAAGGATCGGCAGCAGAAGCACATCGTGGCCCTCCTCAACGTGAGACCGCATCCCCTCGACAATGAAATAGAGGAGGAGAGAAGGAGGCCGCCCCACCTCTTCCCACCTCCCGTCAAAGTCTCGGTCAAGAAGCGGAGCGTGCGGGGGACGGGCAGCTCCGTCGGCGCCTCGCAGAGCACTGCATACGGCGAGGGCACACTGCTACTCGTCAAGCCCAAGTCCAAGTCGTTCAAGCGCGAGAACGCTCGCAATGCGGTCATCACGCTGGAGAACAAGATTCTGTTGGAGAAGATGCTGAGGATAGACTCCACACCGAGCCCCTACAGCCCAGAGGCCATCGTGTATCAAGACAGACACTTCAACGGGTGGGTGGGCAGAAAACTGTAATGATGCGTGGCTCGGCATGGTGCAGTCGGTGTTTGTCTGTGTCAACAGCACAAAGACCAAGTCGTTGAATTTCGACTCGCGCAAGAAGGAGCTGGATCGCATCACCTTCGAAAACAGAGTTAGTGGACCACGGGGAAATAAAAAAGGGAATACACCACTGGACGCGCCCATTCTCGTGTCGTCAGAGGCTCCTTGAGCGGCTAGGGGATGTAAAGCCCTCAGTGAAGCCCCAACAGTGGGAAAAGGAGAGGCAGCATACCGAGTACATCGCAAAAAACATCCTCAAGAACTCCATCAGGGGCAAACCGCCTAGAGGGCTCAAGTAAGACACAAGATAAGCAGGAGAAACCGACGGAGATGGGCTGTCTCCCATTTCTACAGTCCTCCCCCAGCACGGCAACAGCAGCTTGCCATTGTGCCCCTTTCGGTCAGCGACCGTGGTCCTCGCGGGTCACCAGGTCAATCGTTGCCGGCCATCGGCCCCTATTCGGAAGGCGGCGATCCCAGTGCACAACCATCGGCCACCTATCGGAGTGTCTCAAACCACACGAGCGTGAGAGGCTCAGGCGCTGCCCCCGTCTACTCCTCTCCGAAGCCCGTGAAGCAGGACTACGGCAGATCGCCCTCCAAGGAGAGAAGGCCTTCCTCCGCTGCGGAGCTGCCCCTCCCCCTTCCTCTACCCTACATACTGCCCGGAGACACGCAGAAATCGGCCGAGGGTAAGAAGAAGAGGAGACCGTCAAAGGAAGAGAAGAAAAAAGAGCAAGAGAAGGCAGAGGACAAAGAGACTGACGACACCGTCCAGGCACCTGAGCCTGCTGCAGAGGCTCAAGCTGAGGGTGTTGCAGAGGCTGAAGAGAAGCCACCTATCGATGAGATGCCTCAAGACGAGACCAGCACCGCGTTGGTTCCCGCAGAAGCTGTGCCAGAAGATAGTGACCGTCAGGAAACAGTGGAAGCACCGGCAGCAGAGGACGCGGGAGCTGCAGAGGTGGTTAAGGAGAGTCTGACCGAGCCGCCAGCGGCAGCATCTGCTGACCACGCCGATGGGGAAATTGCTGACGAGACCGAGAAAGGGGAACAGGTTGGGGATGAGCAAGAGGTGAAGGAGATAGAAGACGCGGTTGCTGAGCCTGTCGAACCAGTTGAAGAGACACAGATGCAAGGGGGGCAGGTAGAAGAGGATTGATATTTCTTTGCGTGCATTCGTGCGTGTGTGTGACTGCGCTGCAAGGACTTTGCTGATCGAGCCAGCCCGTCCAGAAATCATGGATGAAGACATTGATTGCATTGCTTTCACTCATAGTGTGCTTCAATGAGTTGGAATATCAGCATGTACTGGGTCTCTAAGCCCTAGGAATTGACAACACGCGTCACGCACAGCTGGCCAACATTGTGTATACATAAACTGCGATTGACTACACTGCAGGACATGGATCCCCATCCGTCTCACCCTTTTGTAACTCTCTCGGCTGCAATCGGAAAGACAATGCCGAAGAAGGGGATTTGGCTCATGAGTTGTCTCCTTACCTATGGATGAGACAAACCCCCGCAGCACTCTTGCCATCTTCGGATCCTGTAGGCACAAAACGCCGGACATAAACGTCCTGAGCCGGGATGGACTACTGCTTCTATTTGACCAGTGAGCTGAGTTTATCGATGATTGGTGCTAACATATCCACGGCTTGCAGAGGGTCGACAGACACCTAAACACCAAAGAAGGGCAATGTACCCGTGTTGCAGTCGTCTGTCCGCAGGCTGTATCACCTTGTCTTGAATGAGCGCCAACACGTTCTGCGTTGACGGTGTGCGACTGCGGAAGTACTGCGTTAACGCTAAGATACACACAAACAAAAGAGAGCAACCATAGCGTGGCCTTGACTTATGCCAACGGTCTCGAGCTTACCATCAGCTTGTGTCTCGGTGTCAGCTGCTCGACTGCTCCGCGCCCCCCCGTTCTCAACAATGAATCGCCGCACAACGTCCTCACCCTTGTGGGCTTGTGTGGCTCCATCGGAAAGGTACCCCAGGTACAAATTGCCGTTCGACGGAGACGCGCGATCGACGCTGACGCCGTACGCTGGGGCCGCTTTTGTCCTGTCATCGCTTGCAAAGGGGCTCTTTGACGGAAGAGCCTCCAGAATGCTCATACTGACATGCAGCCGGAAAGAAAAGGAGAGGGGAGTTTGTGTTTCTGTGTCTTTCTGTGCTAACGCCTGAGCCGCCTTTCCCTCGTCTCCATTAATGTGTTGCGGGGGGACTCCGTTGACGGAGTCCTCCATCTGCTGCGCCATCATCGACAGCTTGCCAAACGTCTCTTCGTCCAGAGATCTGGAGACGCAAAGAGAATGGCGAAGAGTACTTGGATGTGTGACAACTGTGTACCTGAGGCGGTCTAAGATCGGCCGCAATTTGATAAGTTTGTCCTCCGTGTCCTCACTAGGTAAAAGTTGAAGCAGCACAGCCATGCACAGGACAGAGATAATTGGTACAACACATTCTTTTTTGTCCTCCTCTTCTACCGTGCGGGAAGCTCTTTTGAGCGGTCTGCAGCAAGACATCGGCGGCCTGGCTCTTGGCATGGCGCAATTCGGTGGAGAGCTGCACATGACTGCCCGAAACACCGGCCAGGGCCTTTTGAATCGAATTGAATGCTGACATGTCCTGAACAGACAGACGAGACACGTGAAGAAAGCTGGCATTCCTTTCCTGCTTTGCCGACGAGGCTTGAGAGTTCTGTTAGAACTGGCGTCAGCTCTGCCATCAGGGAGGCGGTGTCCATAGGCTTTTCACTGCTCTCTTGCAAGAGGGATGGTCTGACACCCCGCGCGTCTTCTTTTCTCCCTTTCTTGGTCAGGACCGAAGCAAGGCCAGACTTGCCAAGCAGCCCCTGGACACACACAGGCAGCCGGAAGTACACAGCACAACTGTACGAGAACGGTTGGTGTACCTTGACGATCGAGTAGGCGGCCGGGTTGGCTGCCTTGAGTGCTGCCAGTGGGTCTGCCCCTCCATGTGCGCGATGGGAATTGATTTGCAGCAAGAGATTGCCGAAGAAGGAGGCCCTTAGCAGGCGCTTCACGGTGGCATATAGACCTGAGAACAAAAAGGGGATAAAGGCGCTGGATAAGTTGGTGTGGTTTGGTCGCGACGACGTGCCTTCGACGGTGGACGGCGGCTCCTGGTGTGAGAGGCGAATGGCCATCGATCGCTGAAGAAAGGAGCGGGCCTGACACACACCGACGCATTGGAGAGAGGCGAATGCCCAGAGCGAACGGCTGTACCTTTCCGCTTGGATTTTTCTGATGTGCCCACATGTTGGCCAGCAGTTTTGCGACGAGGGCATATGCCGCAGGGTCCGTGCGCTGCAACAAAGCGGGGCCAGATCATGAGAACGGCATCAGGTGCAATTGCCTTGCCTTCAGCGGTGCAAGCTCCTCCAGATTCGGGACGTTCACCGATGAAATATTCGCGCCCATCTACAGTGAGACGCATCGAAGACATGAGATGGCAACACGTAGTGGCAGTACCGATGGCGCCCCTGACCTGCAGGAGAATATTAGGCCGGTGCCTGGATAAGTTGAGACCCAGTTGAGACTTCATCAGCAGCGCCTAAATTAACATGTCAGCTTGATATTCCCAAGACGTGTCTCTGTGCGTGTGTGTGGGCGTACTTTGACTATGGCATAGGCAGCAGGATTAGCCTGCTGCAAAGGGGCGAGGGGATCCGTCGGGTCAATGACGACACTGCAGAAGGCGGCAGGAACTGTTACGTGTCAGCAACTGTGTGCACGTCTGCTTCTACCCTTTTCGTTGTAAAAATGCCGGAGGGCTGAGGAGCTTGCCCAGTGCGCTGTTCCGCAGGATTCTTTCAACCAATGCGTACGCCTGAGGGTCGTGGGCCTTGAGAGGCGACAATGGGTCGGCCGTCACTGGAAGATGGAAGCAGCGACTTAAATGAGGGTGAAATGCCCGTATTTTTGTTCGCCTTACACTGCAAGAGGCTCTGATACTTGATCCTATCGGCTGACATCCAGAAGAAAACGACGAAGGAAGTCATCCTGCGAGGCGCTGATCACATTTGTGTGTACCATAGATAGTTGCCACGTGGGATTTGGAGCTTTTTAATGCGGCAATGAGGGCGTCGAAGGCTTTCGGGTCCACCAAGCGGATGGCTGCCATCGGATCGTCCGTGACTGCAAAGGCAGAAGGGACATCCAGCACACGTAACCGGGAAGCCGACGTGTGTTACTTTGCAGGAACGACAGATCATCGTGTTCGACGCCGTGCCTCTTTGCAATGGGGTCGAATCCCATCTCCTGCTTCAGCAGAAGGGAGTGAACGATAGAGTAGGCGGACGGGTTCTCCTGAGGACCCGCGAACAAACAAGATACCATTGAATGCAGTAAAAGACACACTTGCACTCACCCGCCTCAGCTCGGCAAGAGGGTCGCCTGTGGCTTCATCGTGGTCGGCCTCTTGGATGAAAGCGGTCTCGATCTGGCCTTTGCGTTCGTGGCTGTCATTGTAGAGGAGCCCCAGATCAGACTTCGCGAGCAGCGCCTTGACGAGCTGGTATGCCGCAGGATTCGCCTGACACAATGAAAGCAGCAAAAAGTAAGGCCAATGTTGTGTGTTCGGCTGAGATCTACTTTTCTGAGAGGCTCAACAGGGTCCGCTGACGCCTCTGTTGCACCGCAGAGATGACACCAACAACCTACAACAACCACGCCAAACAGGCGTGCAGTGGCAAAAGATCTGCAAGATCTGCAGGGGAGTGCAAGTTTCTCTTCCTGCAGCCGTACCAGGCCAACAAAACGCATCGTCATCTGGCCAGTCCTCGCCTAACGGTCAGCCCGGCCAGCCGTTGAACACCTTTTGAACCGATTGCTAAACTCCGACGAGGCCATGAAATAGCACCCACCCACGCACAAGTGGTGCAATGCAGGGATGCCTCAGCGCCATCTCGACAGACGTGAGTGCCCCTTCATCTCGAGAAGGCTCGTCGTCCTCCCTGCCTCCCCTCGCGTCGCCCGTTCCTCCCCTCTCACTTGCGCGATTCCATGAGGACAACAAGCTGCCGCCGCCGTGGCCGTCAGTAGACCCACCGGCTGAATATCTGTCGCAGCTGTCGAGGGCTCTCAAAAGCCTGAGAGAGGGACAGCGAAAGGAGATCACCAAGCGCAGGCAGTCATCCCAGCTCGTGCCGACACTCCCGCCGTGCCATCCAGACCCCTCTCGGGGCACCGTCCCGACCCTTCCACCACCGTCTGCCATTCTGCCCCTGCCGCCCCATCGGAGCACCAACTGCGCCAAGCCCACAAAGCGGCGAGAAGACAACGGCGGCAGCAGAGAGGCGATGGGGCGTCATGCAAAGGTGCCACGTCTTGATGCGCCCCAGAAGCAGCGTGCTGGCCCTTCCACTGGTCGTCCCGAGTCCCCATCGGTTTTCTACGACCAGTCGGTTCGTGCGTGGATCGTGCCTGCAGCGGAGAAGGGCGGTGGCGAGCGCGCGTTCAGTGTGGATGTGTACGGGTCGGACGCGCGGCGACTGGCGTGTATGGAGTTGCGAGAACAGCAGGACAAGAAGCGCGCGGAAGAGAGTGCTGTGGTGAGCCGTGACGATGACGCTGCGCCGTCTGGCGAGGCGCAGGATGGGGTTGAAGGGGAGGGGAAGGAGAGTGCAGTGCCGACGATGCACACCAGCCGGAAGCATCGCTTGCCGCCTCAATTCATTAGTGGTATGGCACAAGATGACCAATTGGCTGGATGGACCTCCCACGGCTGTCTGTCTGTCTGCTTTGCCGTGTGACGTGACGCTACAGGTGTGCCTGGCGTGCTGTGGCATTCGAGACAAAGATACTGGTAGGCGTGACGCACATGGCCACATACGACACGTATGCCCTGGTGGTGACCTCGCTTGATGCGTGCTCTTCAGGTTCGCGCAGTGGCGTGAGGGCGGGAAACAGAAGGCCAAATTCTTCCCCACGTGGCGTTATGGCTTCGAAGGGGCCAAACAAGGTAAGCAGCAGCGAGACAACCGCTTCTCTGCTCACTGATGTGTGTGTGACATCCATCAGAGGCCGTCAAGTTTCGGCGAGCGATCGACCGGGCGAAGCTGCAGAAGCGCCTCAAGATTGCTGAGGGTGAGGAAGGCACGTCCACAATGGACCAGTCGCTGACGGAGATCGCCAACTCGATCGTGGCGTCCACCCCACCAGCATCGCCTGTGCACGATGGAAAGAGGGATGGGGGCGACAGTCGTGAGGAGACGGAGGCGGCACTGATGCTGGTGGAGCTGGTGAGGGACATGAGGAGGGAGAAGGCAGTATCGGGGGAGGGCAACAGTGGCTGAGGGATGAGAGTCAGCGTTTGGGTTGGTTGGTTGGGTGTACATATATCCATCATGATATGATGTATATATACGTGTGCACATGTCCACACGTGAGTGCATGTGATATGTGCGTACAGTACAGTACTGTCGTGTGTTACACATGAGGAGGAAATGTCTTGGTATCTCTGATATCTATGTCTCTGTCTTGCGCCCTGGTTGCTGTCTGTCTGTCTGTCTGTCTGCACAAGAGGGAGGGATGTACACACCTGTGTCAGTCGATCAATGTATACACGTGTACAGTCCCATTTTCTGTGGTTTCTTTGCTGTCGCCCTATTTGACCGACCGGTGTGCACGTACACTCATTGCTCTCGGCGTGCTCATCTATTTCCTACACACAGAGGTGAGAGGAGGAATATTTTGATCGACAGATATTATACTACCGGTGCAAGGAATTTTAGGCTTCCCTTTTGTGAGCTGGTTTCATTCATTCATCATCACGTGACAGCCCTTTTTGCCTCTGGCTGTGCGTCAGTGGACGGACGGACGGACAGGATGGGTGCGTGCGTGTGGCGAGAGATGCAGTACTTGCTGAGAGCCCAACGCAGCCAATGGACACAAGACATACATGAATCGGTCCAAATGCACACTGAGTCTGACAAAGGCGATGCATCACACAAGCACATCACTCTGTCCTCTCATCTCTCCTCAGCCCCTTGGCCATGAAGATGACCCCATGGCCATCATTTGCCTCTTCATGAAACCCCCTTTTCTCGTACCACCGCCGTGCACTCGTGTTGCTCTCTTCCACAGCAAGATAGATGCTCTCATGGCCTTGCGAGACCGCATGCGAACACACCATGGACAGAAGAAGCGAACCAAGACCTGAAACATACATACGCACCATGCGCCCGAATCACTCACTCAGCCGTGCTGCTTGCACTCACCCACCGTGGTTTCGATGAGCGGCATCCACGGCCAGATCAGCCACGTAAGGCAGCTTCTCGTCCGCTCTCAGCTGACCACAGCCGTCCCGCCCTTTCAAGTCGCCTAAATCAAAGCCGACGTTCGCTGTCGGCGGCCTTTTCCTGCTGTCATAAGCCACGTGGCCGACGATGCTGTTGGTGTCTTGGTCAGTGGCCACCAAGCGGACAATGTCTGACTGCTGGCTCTGTGAGGTGTCGACCTCGGCCTTGTCGGCCTCTTGGATGATCTCCAGCACTCTGTCAGCCGGCGGTGACGATGTGTTGGTGAGCGGGAGGGCCTCTTGCAGGAAGAAGGCAACTGATGATGGCACACACACACACACAGACCGATGACCATGTGCACATGGATCTCATTCCTCTCACCAGCGTAGCTGTCCTGCGGCCTCATTCTGCGGATGCGATAGCTCTTGCTGCCAATGCGATGAGTCGCTGACAAGGATGCGGGACGGGGTCGGTGAAGCGCAAAAGAAAGCACGAGAGGAGGCAGGCAGAAAAGAGCCAGAACAGCCCTATCAACTGGATGCGGGATGGCCGTGCTGCTGAGCGGACTCATGCCGGATGGCAGCTACTCATTGAATTGCCCTCCTCTGGTCAGGACACCACCAACGCCGTGCTGACCGTCTCGGTGATTTGTCCATGTGCTTCAGCTGCTCTCCATGTGTCAGGCAGCTCATAGATCCGGCCCTCGTGCTCCCCAAGCCCTATGCGAGCTTGCAACACACAGCTGCTGAATGGAGAAGCAGTTCAAAATATAATGCTGTTCACGACACACGGCTCTATTCCTAGCGCAGCTCCGGGAGCAGCCGCGAGCTTGTTCTTGCGAGGCGAAGATTTCCGCCTACGATGAGCCATCTCTTTGATTCACTGGGCTGACGGACACAGCGGAGGCAGCTGAAGGGCTGCACGGTCGTTCAGGCCGGCGGGCAAAGGAGAGAGGTCGCCACGCCGGTGAGCACAACTGACTGGAGGAGAAAGAGAAAGGAGTGTAAGAATAGGTGGGAGAGAGTCGGGGAGAATGGTGAAGAGAGGATCTGCCGGGCGGTCAGTCCCGGATAAAGGATTAAGTCAATGCAACGTAAGGTCTGTGGATTTTGTGGAGAGTCCACGTAGG